TAAAAATCTTTCATTTGGCCGAGATATGCCCGAATTCCGGATATTCCATTATTAATCAAAAAAATTAGTAATTGAGGCGAATTTGTAATTATTGACCGATTATGATACGATTAAAAGAAAAAAATAATCGTCATCGCGTATCAATCAGGATACGATATGTTTTGGCATTAACGCATTAACGCTATAGACATGTAGATGATTCATTACAAAGCGGTGTGTTAAAAGTTGGTTCGAGCAAACCTTATCATCGTCAGGCGAGATAACTTTGATGCTTTTGAGTTTTGTTTGTTATTAGTCATAAAAAAAAGGGCTTGGCGGTCATGCCCTTTGTTCACACGGAATGTTTTACATAATTGAATGAGATGATAGACTGACAGGTCATCTTATGCATTGTGGATTGACGATCTGGAAATTTAATTACGCGTATGAATTTTATTGACGAAGGATTGTAATGCCTGCCTTATTAAGAGAAAATTTTTTATCTCCGGAGAGCGCATATAATATAACCATAAATAATTATTCATAAAAAAAGAGTTTTTCGCCTCATAAATTACAAGAGATCATCACGTCTCTAAATTAATATGTACAATAGCATACATCCCAAGGAAGAAATATTCACATAGCCTTAAATAAAAGTTTTAGATTTGCATAAGATAGCTTAATGTATGAAAATGAAGGTAAAAAAATATTAACACAGGGTCAAACGCCTGAGAAAACGAAATGAGAATACGATTTTATAGTTTGAAATAAAAATAACTTGCGTCACATTCGCCTTAAATCCGAGAATAAAAAAAAAAAAAACAAAAAACCGCAAGAAAAACATTAAAAAAAAGAAGAAAATCATAAAAAAAACCCCGAAAAAACAAAAAAAAAAAGAATTATTGCGCGAGATGGGTGTAATAAAACACATGATCTCCGTTGAAATCATATTCATGTATCATCGTATGATAACTCGGTTGAAAGGAAGTAGAGAGACGGTTAAGATGCTGAGGAACTATATGGTAAGGTAAATAAGGATCGGGCATGTTTTGATGGTAGTAATGATGAGGCTCTTCGCCATGGTATCTTTGAGCGTAAACAATGCTAACTCGGTTGGCGAGCTCCTCGTACATCTCTTTTTCTTCGGCGCTTGCATTTCTCCAAAGAATTCCCGTGACCTTGCTGATGACACGCATATTGCATTGACCTTGAAGCTTAGCTTCGTGATGGACGTTCTTACGGCAAAGGAGGAAACCATTCGGAGGACGAGTTGGCGG